GAATGGGTTCTAAATAGTAGTTTTGGAGAAAGTCGTTCGTGCCCATGCTCATTACAGCTACGGCATCTTTGGTAATATCTTCTGCTGTCCTTGCACCAACCAATTGACTCAGCCGGATCTTATATTGCCTGAAATACTCCAGCTGCTTGGAAACGGGCAGGACACTCTATTTCACCAAAGCAAAACAAAGGGACAAAAATTATGTTTCCATAAACTGGCTAATGTAAAACAAACTTTCCTTTACCGAAGTGAAGCTCTGTATTTAAAGACTTACAGAGAGATTGGCAGTGAGCTCATCATAACCAGAAGCAGCTGATGCGAAACTAACACCATGTAAGATATCAGTTGGCCTCAATCTCTTGTTAAGGAAGGGTCGAATCGCCTTTGTGTAACCCAAAGCTTCCGCTGAAATAAACAGTTGCAGAGGACATTGTCAAGATTTATGGACCATACCAAATTTTCGTTTATTTGCCTTGACAATGAATTATTTCGAAAAAACTAAGCATCCATGAAACTGTGCTTTGTTTTCGCATGATGTTAATTATTTTAAAGGAATCAAAGTTAGCAACACGAAAATCCAACATTTTCAGCAACATTAATTTTTATGTGAGTGGAACCAACTATTTGTTTCTAGTTGGTCATAGTGGATACCAATAATAAGATGCATGGCCTTTCAAAAGTGTAAGAGTTCTAACAGTAGTTGACATAACATGCTCTGAACAGGGATTTGCAGAGCCATGGCAGTAAATTTACCAATAAAATCTGTGGCTAGCCTTCCATTGCTGAACCGTCCAGTAGGGCGGCCTCTGAAGAAGTCTTTCCCATAAGGAAGGAAATTACCCTTCATGGGCGTAGCCAGATAGTTGTTATTGCCAGGATCAACGCTTGAGTCTCCAAAAACTAGTACACAAGTCACATTGTATGTGGCTGCCAATTGCTTCACCCGATGAGTATCCAGAGCTCCTGAGAGCAATGGCATGACCGCTGCGGCCATTGCCAAAACCTGCACCAAAACAACTGTCCTCCTCGCCATCGTTTTCTTCATTTTTGAGCTATGTAGCTAGCTAGCTTGCTCCAGTTTAGGAAGAGAACTGTACACACTCTTTAGAAAATGACTCTGGAATGCTTTAGAAAATGACACTTTAATGCTATATATTCCACTGTTCATCTGCCGTACTTCTTAAATAGGCTTCAGGTGGGTTGGTTTTGTTGGTTGAACATTTAACAGCATGTCCGAAATCTTGAGAAATGCTAGGTTTGCATAGAATCATATAATTCGTGGCGATTTGCTGCAAATGACTACTTACATTAAATATTGTCGTAACATTCGGGTGTATAGGATTAAAGTTGATAAGCTAACACATTTCTTAATAGCCAGATTTCAATTTGTATGCTCCACGAAAACTAGGGATGGCAATAAGTACTTTATAATTGAGTGTTTTCTAATATTCAATCTGATTAAGTATGGATAAATCTCTTATAATTGAATTCAGGTAAAATTAAGATAGTAAAATTATTACTTATAGTAGGTTCGGTTAGTAGGATATCTATTTTTTTAATTTAATTATAAATAATAATTATGAATATTAAATCTTAAGTTTTATTTTTTATAAATTATTTGTGATTAATATAATACTTATTAAAAATTATTAATTATTATAAATATGATTGTAAAATTCAATTTTTTTCATGACTTAAAATTAATGTATTAATCTAATATTCATTAATAATATACATAAAAATTGATTTTAAATTCATTTTTTATTTTGGATTTAGCTTTGAAATTTTCCCAGTATTAATAATTAATCAAGTTCAAATATAAAAATGTTGATTCTTAATTAAATTCAGATAAATTTAATCAAGTTTAAATTTGAATATTTCCAAATTAGTTAGCACTTTACTTATTGGTATTCTTAACTACAACCAATGTTATAGTCTTGCAAACATCTGGTTAAAATGCTTGAAGCTAAAAAGGCGAAGCTTTTTTTATATATATGCAATTTGTAAGGGCTATTTAAGTATAGTCTGATTCACCGTGCAAAACTAAATAAATAAATCCATCGAACAAAAAATCAACAGACCGGTTGTAGGCCCAATTAATAGTGATATTAAAGATAGAGCAGGAAAACTGGACCCCACAAGTACAAATTATTTAAGTTCCACGTGGTAAAAGGGGACAGTTTTTAAGTGTTGGCTGTTAAGTACTTCGACATAGAGAATGGCTGAAAGCAAATTGCACAATCAATTTTGGTCCCACGACAACTAACAAATTAACGCCTCGTACGAAAAAACACACAAAAAGAATATTAAATATGATTAAAAATGCAGGAAAAGGACTGCAAGAACTTTGATCAATTGGATTTACATTAAGTGAATAAAATAGTTGCTTTTAATGTTGTAGGAGTTTTGGCCTAAAAAATAACACTAATATTATTATAAGAAAATAATATAAAATTAATTTACCAGCTACCGTCGTGTCTGTTCAAGAGTATTATGATAGAACTAGTATTCATTTAATGTTGTTCAACTTTGAAAGGAAATAACGGCTCACTATGCTTGATTTTTGACAGAACTTGACGAAAACTAAACGATCAGGTGGACCCAACAAAAGTACATTGTGCTGTTGATGCAAGTTGAGGGCATTAATGATCGGACATCCTCAATTTAAAATCCTCATTTAACCACGGGGTGCCACCACAATGCTAAAGGTTAAATTGGTCATCTGACCCTACCTTGGTTTTCTCCTGACAAATAGAAAAAGATATACTGTACTTGTCTTAAGATATTATTTATAACAATGTTTTCACATTTAATATAATAATTAACAATTAATTTGATGATTTTTAAATGCATTGAGCAAATGTGTAATGTTAAATAATAACATTATCAAATACATATTTTTAGGATATCTTTTTAATAAAGGTGCAAAACTAGTAATAGAATATAATATATATATAAGGGTAGTTAATGTCACAAGAACTCAAAGCACAAATAAAATAAATTTAAATCTTGAGTAACGTGAAGTACTATTTTTATGAGAAAATATTTATATAGTTTCTATGTTCTATTAGGTTGTTAAATTTTGACATATTATTTTAAAAAATTAAAAGATTGATATTAAAATTTGATACTATTAGGGACCTTATTAACTTTTTATTTCCTTTAAAATAATACTTCTTTAATGAGCTATCAAGATTTGGTGACTTGATAGTGTATAAAAATTATACATTGTCAATATATTAAATATTAATTATATTTTTAAATAAAAAATATTTATGAAATTTTAGGGAATTAAAAAAATATTTATTACCTTGAAAAATATTTTGTGTTGTCAAATGATATAAAAGTTGATATGCGGATGGAATTGTTATATGCAATTCTTTAACGAATTATCTTCTATTTGTTTTTCAATCTTCACCAATGATTAGAATTTTTAGGTCAATTTGAATGATATAATTAAATTGTTTTATTATTTTATACCTTTTGAAAAAAATTTATTATCAAAACCAAAAAATTAAAAACAATCACAAATAGATGAAAAAAAATACTCAGATATTGAATAGTTAAGGTATAATTTTGAACTATTTTTAAAATTTTAAATAAATTTTTATTTTTATTAAATTTAATCAGATTTATACAGTTTTATTTTAGACTGAATATATTCTTATAATTAATGATTGATTAATTTTTGTTCAATCAAAATAATATTTATCATTTTTATACCATTTTGTACTAATATGATATGTTAACATGTCATAGTAGATATTGATGTGGTATGATGAAATACACAAATGATAATTTATTTTTCTTCATCAATAGCATGTGGGTACAAAAAATGACTTATATTATTTTAACTAAGGTGAATTATAAGAGTTTCTTTTATTCAAAATTAAAAAAAGTGATTAAATAATAATTTATTTTAATTTTTTAATTGTTAAAAAGTTAAAATTAGAATCATATATTACTATTTTGTTATTTTTCAAAAAAAAAACTTTTGTATTCTGACGTTATTTTTTCTTAAAAACAAAGGAAAACACAAATGTAACGGAATTTTAATGTTGATTTTTATTTTTCCTAGATTTTTTAAATGTCAAAGTAAAGAATACAAATTGGTTGTTGTCATTTTAATGTTGATTTTTATTTTTCCTTAGTTTGGCTGCTTAAGAGCCCGGGTTCAAATCCTCTTAACGGAATTCTGATTTTTCCTTAATTGTTCTTTCGTATGGAAAAATGGTTGGGAATTTGCGCGGGAATTCTCGAATAAGTTTCTGACTTTCCGCTTTACTTTCTTTCCCCCTGCCAATATCAATCAAATCGCGTCTTTCTTGCAGCTTCGAGAGTTAGGAGACAGAGGGAAATAGAAAGGACCTAGGGTTTCGATTTTTGAAAGAAACAGAAAATTAAGAAGGAAAAAGAAATGGTGAAGAGAAAAAGCAGCAATAATTGCAACAGAAGGATAAGAATCAACAGAGGAGGCATGGAAGCGAACACGTTAGCAATCCTCGACTCCAACGAATCTCACAAAGATTCTCAAGACGCCAGAGATGACAGTTCGTATTCTCTCCAATTTGAATCATATTCAGTCGATTGATATTAATAATTAATTTTTTGTTACTAAAATTTAGTTTTTATCTTTGTTTGGTTGAATTTAGGTGTTGATTTCCTGGAAGCTGTGCGTACTGCTTCACTTTTACCAGAAAACGGAACTCCTCCTACTGAGTAAATCTACATTCTCATTTTCTACCTTCTTTCAAGATCAAATTATTTACTATTTTTTTTGCAATGAAAACATTGATGTGTTTTTTTTTTTTTGGTCTTAATCCTCTGTTTGTTTTTAAAATAAAGAAAAATGGTTGAGGCGGTGTTTCAAATCCTGAGGGCAGGGAAATCTCTAGAACTTATAATGTCTAGTTATGAGCTTTTGAATGAGATCGAAAAGGTAATTGACTTTGTTTGGTTTTAACTTATGATTTCATTACTTAATTCATTTGAAAAAAGAATGTCTATTAACATACTTTAAAATGCAGCGTTTTCCTCGAGTTTATATATCTGAATCATCGGGTGATGATTCTCGTGTACTGGTAGTGATTAACGAGGTAATAGGAATCTTGATGATGATTAAAAATGTTGAGGATTCTGCATTTTTAAGTTGATTGGTACCTTCATTTATTTAATTTAATTTTGTCTTTGTTGCTGGTTAGGCATGGCTGCCATTTGTGGTTTTCTCCGATGTCATGTCTAGTGAGCGAGAAGCCACTCCCAAAAACTCAGATGGATTGTTTGATGTCAATGTGAGTTGGATTTGTGGTTTTGAAACTTTGAATGCTTATTGAGGGTATGAACAATTGAGGTTTCTTATATGTTAAATTCTGTGCCGATGAGATGGAAATTGCACTAAAAGCAGGAAAGCTGATTTTAGAAACTACCATTACTAGTGCTTAGCATTGTTAGCTTTTATTTGACTGTCTAAATCATTGCCAGGGTTTTCATGAATTAATACAAGGCCTTGCTGAATTAGCTAATAAAGCAATTTCTCAGAGAGTGGATACTGAGGTTTGTGTACTTATTCCTTGTAATCTTTCAGTACTTTGGGAAGAGGTGCAGATGCTAATGTTCTCTCACATAATTGCATGTTAAAACTGTCTACTAATTATAATGGCTAATCTCATGATAATAGTAATTGTCATGTGTTGCATTTTGTTGGTAAATAAGTTTCCTCTGTTGCTCACACAACCTTGTTGCAGTCCTTAGGAAATATGTTACTGTTTCAATATCTTGTCAATGTTCTTGAAGAAGATTTTGTACCCCGTATCAACATGTATAAAGGTAAGCCAATATCTAATGTTTTGTGCTTGTCAATAATTAGGATGATTTTACAGCTCATTGTTATATTGCAGAAACCATGAACTGGAACCTTTTGAGGGAGTGCTTACTCAACATGCTTCTGGTTAGCTTTAGCATTTTAAGCCTTTAATTTCTCTTCTACCTTTTTTTTTCTTACATTCTCATCTGTTTCATCAAATAGGTTTAAGGTTTGTTGTCATGAGTCTTCTATTTGGCTGTTCATGCTAAATTTATGTTTTAGGGTTCAAGAAGAGTCAACTACAAGGTTTTAATGAAAGATTGCTTGTCTACAATCTGTGGACTGTGCCAAGATCATGCTGGAATTGTTGATGAGTCTGAGCATTCTGAGACTTCCATGGGAAAGTCATACGAGAATAATAATACTGATGTAGCAATTGCATTACTTGAAGTACAAAAGACTACTTGTTTGGCTATGCAGAAACTTCTGACAATGGTAAGATCCCAATAAATCATTAAATAGAAGATACTTTTAAATCATTTTAACTATCATCTCTGCATTTGTGGACCTCTCCAGATTATGGAGCTTGACATGTCAAAGAAGCAAGCGCACATGGAGGGTCAAACTACCAGAGCTGATGGTGTGAGGTAATTGCTTGATTCTGTTTTGGTGATTTAGTTTTGTCTTCATCATTTTTGTTTTACATATGTATGTATGGATATGTATGTCAGGTTTTTAACCTCTGATTTGGTGCAGAACCCCACTGGCGGAGATAATCTTGGATGAGCTAACTTATGACAGAGATATGCTCTCCCCATTTCTTCAGGTTGCCATTTATATATAAACGCAAAGACACACATATTCCTCCGAAACAAATGTATTTACTAATGCCTTGGACGCCTAAGGGATTAATGAGCAGGTGTTACCTTTTTATCAGGTCAATTGGTTTAGGCATCACCTGGTCCTTTGACCATATTCTTTGATAAACTATCCTTTTGAATTTTGATGGTAGGAGTTCGTGACCATTATTACCATCAAACAATGTTTCATCTTCTTTCAGTTTTAGCTGTTTTCTAGGACAGATTTCAACTAATCTTTTGGTAACTGTTAAAGTATCTTTTCTGATTGTAACTTTTTCCTATTGATGTGTCAGCTGATCAGCATTTCCTTTAGTTTTCACGGAAGGTTACATGGTGGTGATTCTAGATTGCAACCTTAATTTTAGAAACAATAGTTTTTATCCTTCCAACCATGAATACCCCTTTTTTTTTCAGGTCTTTACTGACCCTAAATGGAAGCTTGAGATCATTGTGCAGTACTTTCTAAAATACACAGCCAAGGTTAGTAGTTGAGTCGTTGATGATGGTTTGTTAAAATAGTTTATTAAAATATTTCATTATATGCACACATGTACATACATTATATGCAGAAAGTTGTGAGACAAGTCTGGGGCAGCATATAATTTACATTATTTTGATTCTCTAATGTAGCCATCTGTTCGTACTCGGAGATCAAATGTTACTTCTGAAGATTCTACGTTAAATAGAGTTTTGAAGTCCTTTTCAAACGGCACCAAACAGAGAAACATTATAAGAAATTGATGTGACTGTGATGCTGTCAATTGCTTTTGGCCAATGCTTTTCTGGTGAGTCTCCTTGTTTTTGTTAAGCATACTGATAATGTGATGCTTGTATTAAAGCTGATGCTATTAACTGCTTTATTTTTTAATAATTATTCTATAGTAATTAGAGATGGTTGAGATGAATATCTGCTGTTGCTTTGATTAGTCTTCTTGAGCAACAAAGAATCTGCAATCCAATGGGATCATGTTGTGAAGTGGCAGGTGCTTGGCAGGATGATTTTGCCGTTGGCAGTATGTGGGGTTGTTGCATGGTCCCTTATGCAAATTGTTCATTCATCTACTGTTAAGTTTTGCTCAAGTTGTTGATATGACGGTAAAAAAAGTTGAGAAACTTAAGAAGAATTTGATTCACTGAAAATTGCATACTTTGTTGTTATAGATAAGACATGAGAGTCATGAGACAAATGTAAATCTAAATTTGAAGCTAAAAGTTGGAATAGTTTGGTAATATTAACTCCGTACGTTGATCTCCTAGAGTAAGTGGTTTTTGAAACGAGAAATTCAACTACTCAAGTTGTTAACCACCATTGCAAAAACTGTTATAAAGTTCATCTCACATATATTTTGATTTCCTTAGATCTTGTAATTTCTCTTCCAGGCCTACTTGTCCATCTCATCTCAGCAACGTCTTCCTGGCATGTCTGATTGCAAGGACGATGAAAACAGTTCCCTCATGGAAATATCTAAAGATGTAATTGCTGCTTTCGATAGTCTAAGAGGAGCAGATGAGTAAGCTTCTTTTTCTCTGTTATTTTCGTCTGTATTATTTCACTATATTTCTTTTCTGCTAAGGCTGCTGGTACATGTTATGCGTTCAATAGTTATGTCAGTGTGAGCAATCAAGCTCTACGTTCATGTTGAGTGGCTAATATATCAATGTCAGTTTTGCTGCACCATATTTCTCAAAGAAATGCATTTTACATCTCATCTTGTAGGAACATTGAGATTTCATCCCTTGGAAAAGAAGCACTATTTACAGCTGCAATGATCATTTCAACAACTTCATAGGAGGTCAAAAAGAGCTGCACTTCGTTTCTGGTTTTTGAAGGGTCGCATATTGAAGGTAACTTGCTTGACCATCGCTGTATATATATCACAGGGAATTCAGTAAACTGATTTAGTTATACCTTCTAGCCCAAAAAAAAAAAAAAAGAACGTATTTAGTGTACCTAGCACTATTGTCATGCTTATATGGTGTTTGGAGTAAATAAAATATGTATCCAGTTCTATAACATCCAAACCTGGCATCCACTTTTCGCTTCTTTCTTAATTTCCGTTATAATTGAGAGGTCATAGAAGGTTATAATAAAAAATTTCCAGAGTGGTAGAACCAGGAGGTGAATTCCTGACCTTGAATCCAAAATTCAGTAGAAATAAAAATTTCTAAAAGCTGATTTCATATTAAAAGGTTGAGCTTGATCTGAATTATAATAAATTGTTGTCTGACATCCCACGAAACTATTTAAAGATTTATGGGTTTGTGACAAATTCTACAAAGATAGACCTCTCAACATATTCTACCAATCCACCAATTTAGGATTCTTCTGCCTTCTCACTTGTATTCCTGAAATGGTTCAACCTTGTTTTAGTATCGAAAGTTTTCTAACTTAGTTGTGCAACATTAATCATTACCATAATTGATACTCACTTTGATGGTTGAGATGAATCAAGCTGCATTGTTACTGGCCCATCATTGACCAAACTAACCTTCAAACAAGTACAAAGATCCAAGTCAGAATACCTCCTGATGAAAGTTTCTATTCAAATCAAGAGAAATGACACTTTGGGGGCGGGGGATAGCCTCACCTTCATCATTGCTCCAAATACTCCATCTACACCAAATGAACAAAATGAGTCAATATAACTTTAAACACTGTATTCATCATCAGCCAAATTATACTAGGTTAGAGACAATGTTTTGCTCTGTGAAAACTCGGTCTGGGCATCAGCTATTGAGTTGCATACATCTCAAGTTACGTGATTAAATATTTAGAAATCAACTATTGAGTTGCATACATTCTGTCTAAATGGCATCAGTAACATGGCTGATTTGAGTCTGACATGGTTCAAAACTCTCATAGTTTTGAGAAAATAATTGTTAATTTGCATCTTTGAGTACAAGCCTCTATATCCCATGCTGTTAGTGCTCAGCATACAGATCTATCAATATAGGAATCATGGTACTAACTATCAATATATACCATACAGATCTCAGTTGTGCGTGTTTTCCATTGAAAGACATTCTACTTGGTACTGGATAATATAAAACAATACATAAATGAATTTATGAATGATTTAACATTTGTTGAAAAAAAGGGATAAAGATCATTTAGAAATAGCACAATAAAATAAAGAATGGAAGGTAAATGGAAAGAACCTTTTATTGCATCTGGCTTATAAGCTTTTCTGAATTTGTCAACTAAAGATTCATAGAACGGCTTTGCTTTCTGTGGCGGCATTGCCACATGGAAGTCTGGCTTGTTACCCTTCAAGAATCCATACAACGTAAATTGACTCACTGCAATGCAAAACAACTTTAGAATTCAGACAAAATGGAAAAAGAGAAAACTCTAAGAATTAAGATTACCCAGTAGAACTCCATAATTCCTTTGCATGACCTGAAAATTATCCCAAAAATTGAATTTACAACTACAACCTTAGCGTAAAACATCAAGTCACTAAACAGAAATTGGAAAGTAAAGGAAAGGAAAAAGGGAAAATTTACACTCTGGTCCCATCCTTTGCCAGTACTTTCATTAGGGAACAGTCTCATGTTCAAAACCTTACGACAACTGCACAAAATTTAACTCCTTCATTTTCATCATCAACAGCAGTAAAAAAAAAAAAAAACTAAAGATGTAATGAATTGGATAAGATAGAATGCACCGAAATGTTTTATTACATGTAATCGGTGTCAGATTCGGTGTCGGAATCATGGAGTCCAACGAGGACGAGGAGACCAGGTCCGATTTCCGACGCAATGCCGCCATCGACCTGGGAAAAATGCTAAGTTAATGATGTTTATCATAGCGCAAGATAGAGGGACCGGAGGGAGGCGGGGGGGTTTTAGTTTTTCTGACTGACCTCGACGCTGGCGGAGGCGACTCTTTGGACCACGGCTCTCATCGCCCTAATTTGTAGGTTTCGGTGTTTCTTCGATGGTAAAAGAGTTTTCCGCTTATTTTTGGTGCGTATTATGGAGGCAAAGTAAGGGGAAATGGAAAGAGAGTGCATGGCCTTTCTAAGTCCGCTTAAGACAGCTATTTGGACTCCAAAACTTGAAGATACTTCGCCTTTTCTTTTCTACATCTTCAAATATTGAAAGTTACAGTATTTGGGTAGTTAACCGAAATGGAATTATTGCGTGAAAATAATAAACGAAATCATTGAGAGGTAATGGAACATCATTTGAAAGTTACATTGAGCCGGAACAATATGTCTCCCATGTTCTTTTGGGATTGAACTCTCTAAACATACACAAAAGCCTCATCCGTAACAAATCCCACACTATCCAAGCCAAACCCAACCTAACAAGCCAGTAGGTAAAAGAAAAAAGCTAATAAAGAAAAAGCCTAGAACCTAATAAAAGAAGAAGAAATCTAAAAGGGGAAAAAACAAAAAAGAGGGAAGCCACAAGCTTCACATGTGCATACTACAAACTGTCCTCGTCTCTCCATGTCTTCTGCCTCTTTTAACACCTATTGAGCCCATTTTGTCCATAGCTTCTGAGAAGGCCTGGAAGAACTTAGCCTTATCTTGACCAAGAGATTGGACCAGAGGCTTGGTCCTAGGGTCCCAAAAAAGACCTTGGTCCGAAGCTAACAAGCCCAATTTACCCTCCAAATTTGCATAATAAGCATGGTCGAACAAGAACGGGGTCGTAACATCAAATGGAGCAACAATGTCAGCATTGCCGCCAACATGCGGGCATGACATTTTTAGTGCCTTCAGGAGTCTTGGGTCAATGGCAGGGTCAGGCTGCATAGTTCCCTTGTAATCGTAGAGTCGGCCCACAAAGTACTTGCAGCGGGCAAAGCCGATAGTGTGGGCACCCGAGAGCACAACCAGGTCCTGGACAGTTAACCCTTTTGAGCTGAAGAGTTTGATCAGTTGATCGACGGTTGAATTTGCATGTGGGAGGTTGTAAGGGACCCTGGATGCCATTGATATTTTCCCATCCCACCTTCCTTTCTTCACTTGGTAATAAGGTCCCCCTGCCTGAAAACACATTAATTTTAGAAACCAAAGTAAATCTAATGCCCCAATCAAGTATACTAGACTTCCCTGTTCCTTTGGCAAAGAATAATATTTTAACATGAATATAAAACCAGAGTACTTAATTGTCTTAACATTGATAATGATTTAAATTCACTGATCTTGGAGACACAAAGATCGAAAGTCAAGATCAGGCAGGACAAACTAGCAGCAGAGTCTTGGCTGTTAATGACACAGCTTTCATTGTCGACATATTAGGCACCTCAAAATATGAATTTCTTTCATGTCCTATTAGAACAGAGTGTTAACTGTTAACTATAGCTGTATTGCAGATAACAAGTAACATAATTATTTTTTTTCCCCAATCCTTCTACTCTGGAAGCATCATTAGTATTAAATAATATGGTCACATTAATTGACAGAAGGACGGCAGTGAAACGGGAGCTTTTGAGCAACTGATGATTTGTTATCAGAAATAATATCAAATTCATGAGAATCGTGGAAAATGGAAGCACTAACCAAATGGACAAAATCTCTGGCTGCAATTGCAAGAATATCAGCACAGGAAACAACGCCTGGGCACTTGCTCTCCACCAAAGTCTTGGCTCTCGTTATTGTATCAAACCCCTCCGTTCTCAGGTCCTTGTTGTCCTCTGCATCTTTCTCAGCTAAAATCTTATTTCCAGAATTTGTTGCTATAAGGATAGATGCATCACAACCCTGCAATTTAACAATAACCCATGCAAAAAAAAATTTGATTAATCATCTGTTAGAACTTCCCCTGTTGGCAGCCCACGGTAGCAATAATGCTAACATGTCCATGCATGCAGAAGTAATCAATGGAATATAATTTGCATTACTTCTACAAAGCAGTCATGGAAGAAGAGGCGAATGGTGGCAGGTGCGGAGACAGGGGCTTCTTTGAATTGTTGGGAGGTGATGGAGCCGATTAGTTGCTCAAGTTGTGGGCAAGATTTCGCATAGTAACTGACAGAAAGTTGGCGTGGGAGGCGTTTCGCAGGGGTGCTGATGGGTTGACAATCGGAGGAGCTTAATGTGAGCAAGAAAATGATAAGCAAACAAGTGAAAACAAAGGAGGATGAAGATGGAGAAGGGACAGACATGATTGTATAGTCTATAGGAGTGGGCAGCTTAGGACAAAGAAAGAAATAGTAGTGGAGAATATAAAAGTGTTTAGACCAGGTGCAGAAGTTTTTTAGTGGGACAGATTGCCGCAACCAAAGAGGATGATAATCCACTCCCGTGAAACCCAATTGTACAAGAGAGAGAACGAGAGTGTTCCCAAGTTGACTCAACATTGGGTGAGGAAAGAGAAACTCTGAAGCAAAGAGAAGTAGGAGTAGGAACAAAAGGTTTCCCTTTTGCCCTTTGACACCGTTTTGATTGATAATGTAGAAATGAAAGGAGGATCTGCTTAATCATAGCCAGGTTAGAAAACAATAGTTGGCATTGCGACAGTCAGTCACGGGTTTGAGTAATGATTAAAGATCACAAATCATCTTTTATCACATAGACATTAACCTGTTTTTATAGGAAATGGAGTAGTTAGTTTCTAATGCCGATGGCCTCTTGGTACTTAAGTAAGCAAACAGGCAAAGTGGCTGAATACAAAATAAGAAAGGCTCAGCAAAGTTGATGGGTGGTGGGAAAGAAAGTACTCAACCCCACTTGCCAACCAAACTTGAGTTCTTAAATGCAATGCATGTGCAAACGAGGGAGATCACCAGATCATAAATTAACTCTGTTGACACAGATTAATCAGAGCCATTTGCTTAACTTCTCTATGTAGAATATGCATCAATGGCTATTTTAGTTGGCCCTTTTTCAGTAGTGACTTCAGTGGAGGTAAGCTTTTTCTTGTGAGCATAGTAAAAGCTGCTAGGACCATCTCACGCTCAATTCCTTTCTTAGCTTTTGGTACTCACTTGGATTCGTGGACGTGGGACAAGGGTATATTAGAGGAGCCGGAAAAAGGCAGTTGTTTGCTGTGGGACCGCACTTTTGAGTAGAAATTTTTTTACAGGCCAAATGTCAAATATGCTTTTGGATTGCTGTATTTAAATTCACTAGTGTCAGAGCTAGGGTCTGGTGAAATCAGGTTTTAGTAAACATATTTCCCATTTTGGAATTGGGTGGTGAAGTGAAACTATACAAAAGCCAGTAAACCAGGTCTCATGTCTTGGTCAGTATACAATAACCAGTATATACTCGATTTTTAGCTGCAAAAAGATCTGTTGCTTTTCTCTCACTGTCCCATAGCCAGCTTTTAAAGTTAATCTCATCCAGTTCTAACCTCCAGATAATGACCTCTGATGGGAATTTTAAAGTGAAGAGCACATGAAAAGCTTATGAATATCATGATAGCTGACATTGCTGGGACTTTTTCCAAAAACAAAAGAGCAAAAGTCTGTGTTCGCGATTGCTGAATAAGACAGTGGCAACCTTGGAACATTTTTTCTTTTCTTTTAGAATCTTTTTAAGTAACAGGAAATGCAGAAGTGTCACCCAGGACAAAGGAAATGTGGAAGTCAGTACATTTGTCGTTTGACCACTGTTGTTATATTTCCATTAAATTCTGGATTGGATTCGGTTTGTCCATCTTGATAGAGCCAATTGTTGGTGGTGCCCATGCAGGGAGGGAGGGAGCCAGAGTTTAATGTTGAGGGGAAGACCAATACATCAGTTTATCATATGGTTAAGAATACTTCCATGGCCCATTTTGCATCATACCTTATACATTAAAATTTTTAGACTTGACAAACGACATTAGAGAATTGATAAGTGTCACATTAAGATATATTTATATAAATTAATTATTAAAATTTTTTCATCAATATATATTATATGTTATATTTTATTGATTTTATTTTATTTTTGAAAAAAGAGATACAAATTTTACTTTTTCAGAGACAATTACTGAGTCAAACATTAAATATATATAATTTGAGTTTATTTCAAAAGGTGGGTCCAGCCCAGCTCAAATCCTAACCCTTTTCCGGTGGGACCAAACATGGGCTCGATGTCATTAGAATGGGATAGATAGCTCGATCTGAATTCAGTCCAGCCCAAGACTTTTGAAGAGAAAACCTTTTGTAAATTACAAACGGATTGGGCCCAGGCTTTCCCAAATGGATCCGTGGATTTAAGCCAGACTTTTGCCTCTACCTGGTGAGTAAAACGCTGCGTTTTCATTCTCGGAGTAGTCCACCCCGGTTTCCCTCAGAAATTGGCTGCATTGCACGCAAAGCGTTTGATTCAATCACCCAGCGGATCGAGTTTGAGCTGAGTTGACGCGGCCTCTGAAAACTCGACAAAAATGCAACGGTTAACATCAAGGATAACTCGAACTGTGAAAGCTTCTTCCTCACTGAGAGCTTTCCTCCTCAAAGAAGCACCATTATCATCTTCTTGTTGGCTTCCAGAGCGCAGCTTCTCTGCTTTCTCCTTGCAACAACATGTCCAAAACCCGCAAAAAGAAGCGATCCCAGGCGATTTCTTGAAATGGGGTTCGCTTGGTTTTTGCAGGACTTCGAGGTTTGCTACTGGGTTCACGCCTTTACAACCCAAGCCTTTGAATTCCATCATGGACTTGGACAGAGCAAAGAACCGTTCAGCAGAGGACCTTGCTTCTGTTTGGGATGATGTAATGTATCCAATTACTCACTTTTTTTTCCCTTTCATTTTTATGTTATTAATATACGAGAACAAATTGATTAAGCGATTTTTATTTTTTTTTATGTTCAGTATCACTTGGGAAGAGGTCACATTGGGTTGACCATGAAAGCAAAACTTTACCGTTTGTTGGAACACAGAGGCTCAGATTGGTAATCCATTTTTTCCATTGTTTTCTGTTGTTACAAGCAAACACATCATTTGGTTCCATAATTCTGGCTAGTCTTACTTCTATCTGTATTAGCAGCCGGTATTTTGTCATTCCTTTGTGGAGAGGAAGTGGTTACACAACAATGTTTGCTCAAGGTTTGTTCAGTACTCTTTGCATTTTGTCATATCGGTTTTATATGAAAGTGGATTTCTATTTTTGGTGGTTGAGTTCTTTGGTCTATGAGCTACATAACCCAATACTCAGCTTAAAATATTTTGTATACAACAATGCTCATGTTCCTCTTATGAGTTATTGAATTGTGTCTGTTTTAGCAATTCAATGCAGTAATGTGTATATTATTGAACAAGATAATACCAGTTTGCAGTCATAATTTGTCACAAGTTTGTCTTTCTCTTCTTTATCTTACAGTTGGGATGATACTATCAGGCCAAGCATCATTGCTGGTATTCCTTCCGTATTTGAGGAGAGCCTTGGAAATGCCTTGGCTATAAATTGGTTTTTATTTTCTGAAGAATTTCTTGCAGGAGTTTCAATTGATTGACCATTCTTGTGTGTAGGTTGTAAATCAAAGAAGTGCAACGTACTTTTTGGTGGTTGTGATGAATGCTTAAGGAAGCTGTTAGGGTTATTTGGTACTATAAATAGTATTTATGTTGTGCATTAGGGCCCCCTGTTGTTATAATTAGATGCCAGTAAAGTAGACAAACAAGTTTCTATCTCTCCATGAACTTGTTAGTTTGCTCAAATGTGTATTCAATTTTTTCTTGCAGTGCAGTTGCCGCACATGCTTTTCACTGGTCTTGAAGATTACAAAGCGAAGGGAACTCAAGCAGCTCCTTACTTCACTGCAACCTTTTACACAGAATTTGCAGAAAGCAAGGACTTGGTACTCATTCGTGGAGATATTGTTTTCACCAGTAAACTTACTGATGAGGAAGCAAAATGGCTCTTGGAGACCACTCAATCTTTCTATCTGAATGATGTGAGGTACAAGCAGGTTGAACGATTCAATAAAGAACCACGTGAGTTTGAGTTCAAGGATGTGTTGCGAGCCTTAGACATGCCCATCATGTAACTTCTTTGAATGATATATGGTGAACTACAATGCTGCTTAGTCAGGAAGTCTGAAGCAATAATGTTTCCACTTAGGCATTGGCCCAATGGGAGGATTATCTCAAGACAACCGGTTATGTTTTTAACAGAGGTATTATTCAGCCCTACTTGTTCATTTCACCAGGGGAGAGAATGGTCTTGAGATGACTACTTGAGTTCCTGAGAGTACATTGAAGAGAGAGATTATTCTTCTGAACAGGCGTTAGTGTTACATTATCAAGAGAAGGCACAAATCTTACATTTTACTTAAAACTATATCAATGATATAACCATTCTCCTTTCGTCTAAGATTATATTCATTTACATGTTAGCATCTAAGGTCTCTTTGATGAACAAGTGTTATCTTTCTGGTAGTTAGCATGCCAGTCCGGTACACATTCAGGATCTACATTCTCATATCTTTATCTGCAAGAGATGCAAGTTTCTAGTTTTAACATCTATGGAGAATGATCAAAATACTAAGAAGCATGGGACATAGGCAGCTGAAGTTTCATTTCTATTTTGAGTTTAGACAACTAGACAAACATTCCCATTAAATAGAAATCAATACTAAACATTTGCTGTGCTGTATTTGTGTCCTGACGGCAATTATTTGGTCTCATCGACAGTTAGGTATGGCATAACTCAACACTGGTCACGTCAGAAAATAGGTCAATTAAAGCGGACAACCTAAGGTACTTTGCACTTGCAAATTGTAATAGTGCTTTTTCCTCTCTTTTTTTTTTTTTTTAAAAGGTGCTTTTTTGTTTTTTTATTTTAATAACAAAAGAGTTAGTAAATGGGAAAATCTGATATTAGGATTATAAGTATTTTATTATTTTTGACATCGAAAAATGTCATTAAATTAAAACAAAAAATTCAATTAAAAATGGGTTTTTTTAATATATAACATATATATGCCAAAAATTTGCTAAGTTCATGCTCAAGTAGAAATAATTTGCAACATTGTAGTCTTTGATCTCTATCCAATCCAATCAAGGAATGTGGTTAATGGGCTCTAACGGCTCAGATGCTTAGGAGTCACGGACCGTAAGGCCCGAAACGCTGTGCAGAAATAAGAAAACCTGGTGAAACGCAGTCGTTTTGATGAAGCAAAAATGGATAATGATATACTGGACCCGACCAGGCGAGGAGGTTCGTCAAAGCGAAAGTAGCCTAGCCTTCTTCTTTTCTCTCCGTTACAATCAAAAGCAAAAGAAAAAAGGGTAAAGAAAAGAAAAGAAAAATTAAACCCTTAAGTGAGTCTTCTCCGAATACTCTCTCTCTCAAGGTTTCCCCCCTTTCCACTGTTGTGACTCCACTCTTTCGGTTTTCTCTCAGTTTCCCAGTAACCAAACAGGAAAACCACTCAAATTATTCTTCTTTGCTTCTCTGTCTCTCAAAATAGTATAATTTTTCAGTTGAATTCTTTTTTTGGTGTTAATATTGTTGAATTTTCAGTCTCTCAGTTATCTCCGTCCTTAAATCCACCAAATGACTGACGCTTCCGAGGAAGCCAAGCAAATCGAGAAGCTCTACGAGTTCGGCGAACGCCTTAACGAGGCCAAGGATAAGTCTCAGGTTGGCCCCTCCCTGCCTTTCTCTCTATTCCTAGGGTTTTACCTTGTCTATCTGTAACTTATCTAATTTCTGATATCATACAGAATGTGAAAGACTACGAAGGAATCATCGATGCCACGAAAACAAGTTTAAAGGCGAAGCAGTTGGCTGCGCAGCTAATTCCTCGCTTCTTCAAGTTCTTCCCCAATCTCTCCAGCCGTGCTCTCAATGCGCATTTCGATTTGATTGAAGAAGAAGATTTGGCGGTCAGTTCATATAATCTA